AAAGAAAGAGAAAGAAAGAAAGAAAGAAAGAAAGAAAGAAAGAAAGAAAGAAAGAAAGAAAGAAAGAAAGAAAGAAAGAAAGAAAAGAAAGGAAGACAGCCATCAGGCAATAAAATGAGTGTTTATTTTTATTTTATCTTTTTAAAAGTCTATAGGTCTGAACTCAATGATAGCCAACTAGACCATCAAATTATTTTCATGCTGAGGAAAACAGAAGCACCTTTTGCTAATCCTTTTTCCTGGCTTTCAGCAGAAAAGACCAAAGACATGCACTAGAGACCATTAAGTACTTGGAGAAGGGTTTCACCAGGGTGTAACCCAATTATACAAATGATTTATAAGGAGCCCAGAGGAATATTTCTTTATTTAGACAGAGGCAGTGTCAGATTAAAGGTGCAGTGGTTCCAAACTGTTTTTTCCAGCCCTCTTCCATTGCAACAGTGTGTCTTGTCTGTGCTGGTAGATTATTAACAGAGGTTATTGGTCTCCATGGCAAAACGATTGAGTGATTACGCTGAACGTAATCTCATTTATGGGGGTGAAAAAAAATATAAATGTCCATTGCCATCAAGAGCCCGCTGCTGTCGAGAGGCTAAAGCAACTGCAAGGACACAGCTCACCGAGGTCTGGATTTCAGGCCCAGAATACTGACTGAAGCCGGGACAGTTGGTGGCAAGCTCCAGGAAAAGCCTTGAGAAGCCTGTGGGGGCAGAGGCCCAGCATGTGCACAGGGGGCTGCGCCAAGTGCCTGGGGGGCACACTCATCCCCCTGGCTGTTTTTGCCTTCCTGGCTAATGTCCTGCTATTTTTCCCTGGAGGAAAAGTGATCGATGACAACAGCAACCTGTCTGAAGAGGTCTGGTATTTCGGAGGAATATTAGGAAGTGGGGTTCTGGTAAGTAGGGAGCCCTTCAAGTCCCCCTAAAGCAGGTTCACCCTTCTCTTGTCCCTTTGCCATCAGCACTTGGTGGGGAGATCTGCAGGACATTTGGAAGCTAGCAGAACCCCAGACATTGCTTGAGGGACACAGTGCCTTACTTTTGCTCCCCTCTCTGCTCAGAGCTGATGAGAACATGTTGATAGTAAAGCAACGAATCCCCAAGCTAAGGCACTTGAGTCCCATGAACCAGGCTAATGGCCATATGATTGCCTTATTGCAAGAGAATGCCAAAAGAATTTTATTTATTTATTTATTTATTTATTTATTTATTTGGAACCGGGGATTGAACTCAGGTCCTTGTGTTTGCCAGGGAAGCACTTATTCCACTGAGCCATCTCCCCGGCCCTGAATTTTTTTTAAATAAAAGTCAATGATTTCAAGAAATGTGTTGACTTGAAACCACAGAGCAACCCACAGGTCAGCAGAGGCCTCTCCACCAGGCCCCAGTGATTCTGCTACTCCTCACTACCAATAGAGTTGGGAACTTGGGGTGGGCATGAGGGGCTTTCAGTTTTACGACAGTTGAGGACAGGTTTCTTGTTCTTGTCCTAACCCTCCACCTGAATGGAAAGGCAGAGTGACAGTTCTTGCAGTCCTCCTCATTGAAGCTGGGATCACTCAGAAGCATGGCACCCTGATCCTCAGTGACACCCGCTTACCCTGGGGATGGGCTGTGGGTCCCTGTCATCCCGGCTGGAGGAGGCTCCTTGCCTGCTGGGCATGGGTGTGCCCCTCAGCCGCAGAGCCTCTAAGGTGCCTCTCTTCCTGGCAGATGATCTTCCCTGCGCTGGTGTTCTTGGGCCTAAAGAACAATGACTGCTGCGGGTGCTGTGGCAATGAGGGCTGCGGGAAGCGATTTGCGGTGAGTGACACCAGGGCAGCCACCAGAATCACTGCAGATGCCAGGCTCCCTGTGCTGCGTAGCACAGGGACAGAGACAAGTGACCCGTCTTAGTGAACATGCTGGGGGCAGCCAGTACAGGAAGGAAGCCCTGCTTCTTGCCTCTGGCACAAAACAGCAACAGTAATAAATGCACGCGTGTTACAGACCCACGGGCAAGGAATATTGCACAGGCTTTGCAGGCAGCCAGGGATGTCAGAGCTGGCAAACTAGAGTGGTGCCCATAAGGAACACAGGCTGGGAGGCAGAGCCATGGTCCTCTTCTGCTGCAAGAGGCCACGAAACCAAGGAGAGTGACTTCTCTGGCTCTGCCCAGTCCCTGCCCTGGGGGACTTGGGACAGCATAGACACAGCAACTTCCCCACAGCTCCCTGAATTCCCTACCTCTCTTTCTTCTAACCTCATTGTCTGAGTTTCAGGTCTTGTTTCTCTTTGTAGATAAGCTAGAGAGCATTTCTTGTTTTCTTTTTAGAGAACATTTCATGTGGCTTTGTCTTTGTAAACGAGGCATCTACTGTCGGGGGCAGGGGAAAGAAGGCTGGGTGTGAGGTCGGTCTGTGCTTGCAAATGGGCGAGTCACTACATTGCCCTGCCCCTGTGCTCACGGCAAAATGCGGACGTTGGCTGGACCTGAGTCCTCCGAGCACAGGAAGGACTGTGGTCCCAGGTGTGCCACATCTTCTACATAGAAGTGTTGCTCCCTTCATCCTTCTCCTTCCAGCCTTTCAATTCTATCAAGGAAAAAAAGATGTATTTTGATAGAGATAAGTCTTTGTCCCTTCTAACCCTTCACAGTCTCTCCTGACAAAGGCAGAAAAGTTTCAGGCTCCAGGAATTCTAGCAGCACTACTTCACTGAAATTTAATGATTTTTATGTTTATGTTTGCTAATGCTTGCAGTTTTTCTTTCACAATACTGGTATAAGGCTAAAATGGAAATTTTGCTTAAAGAAACATATTAAGCACTCACGCAACCACAACAAAAAAATAAAGACAGTAAACTGGAATTATGGGGCTGGATGCTACAGCAGACTAGCTCCTTCCCCAACCTCAGGGCTGCTTCCCACCTGAGAGATTCCAGCTCCAGTGGAAGCATGCATGTTCACTTTAACTTTTTTAAATTATATTTTGCTGTTCTGAACAAAAACATCTTTTTTTTTTTTTTTTTTTTTTGTGGAAGTGGGGGTTGAACTCAGGCCCTCGCCCTTGCCAGGGAAGTGCTTATTCCACTGAGCCATCTCCCCAGCCCGCAGAATCATCTTAACATTTCATCTTCATTATTAAATGTTCATTTAGTTGATCAAACCTATGTACTGGGCATAGCAGGAAGGGCTGGGCCCTGTGTGGTGCTACAGCACTGCAGGTCTCACTGTAAGGGCAGGCACCTTTCCAAGGCAATGGTTTCACTTCATCTGCAAGATTTTGAGTCCTGAGTAACCACTGGTAGTTTTTCTTTTGACAATTAAGATTGTGACTTACAAAGAGTATGAGAGATAACCACAATTTACTTGATAGAATTATTTAATATATGTTATGTGTGATAGATATTTTCATATAATTAATTACAAAGAAAGGAAAGACATATAGCTCTTCTCCCCTTGATATATAATCCTATTATACTTTGCAAACTTTTGGAAAATAAGTTGGAGGTCAGAGATGGAAAAAATAAAAATTATCATTAAGTAGTACGGATGAAAAGAAAGAAGAATCATGGCTTAAAAAGCTAACATCTCCTTGATGCTAAGCAGAAGGCTGAAGACCAGCTAGCAAAAAACAACAGGTGTTTGTTTTTTGTTTGTTTGCTTTTGGGTTTTTTTATAACCACAAAGAGACAGGGGATAGCAATCAATGTACTGTGTGAAACTTTTAAAATTAGATTTCAGTGAACTCCAAGAAAAAGGCAGAAAAGTCATGGTTTTCAAACACAGTTAAGCCAATATGGCCTGACGTGTTTGGTCTGACCACTAAACTTTGTCCAAAGGTTTGGGCTTGCCAACCTTCCAGGTGGGATCTGCTTTGGAAGGAGCTGAGGATAAAACCTCCAGAGGTCTGGGCAGTGCCCAGTGAGGACCAGCTGCCCCACACTATGAACCGAGTCACACAGCTGCGCTGCCAAGGTTCACCACATGCTTGTGAGCTGGCACACAAGGCTCTGGGTTTTGTTTTGTTTTGTTTTCAGTCAACTTTCAACTTTTAAAAATTGAGAGATAGCACAAAAAATGGCCTAAATGTCTTACCCCTCATACACAAAAAAATACTAACCTGACATGCTTGGACCCACGTTCTGGTACAACAGTGGGTGGCAAAGCCTGTGCGGGGTGGGGCTGAGCTTCAGGGACCCTCAGAGATTGCTCCACCCCTCAGGTCCCAACCTGCCCTTGCCCCTGAGGCCATAGTTCACACCCTAGTTCAATGCTGTGTTTCTTTCTGGTGCCAAAGCTCTGAAGCCTCAGAGAAGGTATTTACAGACATCTGGTTAGAGGAAAGAAACAAAATCTACATTATTGGGTTAGGGCTAGAATGCTGAAGATGTGAGTCATTTTTTTGCAAGTGTTCAGGACTCCAGGCTTCTGTGGAGCTCTGCACAAGTGGGCCCTGTGTGGTGGAAATACCAAGCATGAGGCAAACACAGAGCAGAGAAATGTGGCCAGGCCTCACGGTACTGCCTTGCTCTGTGTCACTTGTTTCCTTGCCTCTTTCTGTCTGCTGGCAGTACGTCTTTCTGGAGCATTCCCCGGATGTTAGCTGTACCACTGACTTTCTCTGGTAGTGAAACCAGGATGTAGGAGATAAGAGAAGCAGGATGTGGTGGCTCCAGTCATAAATGATACCGTGCGCTGGAAAGCATGTGGAGACCACCTACTTCATACTTTCATGATGAACCTGAGAAAACCAAGGCAAGCTGTCCTCTGAGGCCAGTGAGACAGAAGCAAATCCCAGGTCTGCATTCTTTCAAACAAGTGAAGCTAAGTAAGTGCCAGGAAAGTAAACCCTGGGGCAAAAATAGCGAAAGTAGGGTCACTTTCAAGGTGGTCTTTGAAAACCCTGGCTTGCCTGTGTCTTCAGGCCTCTTCTTCCTGTACTGGGGGTTCTGAGTGACCTCTTCCCTGCAAATTTTAAAAAGACGGGGGCCGGGGAGATGGCTCAATAGAATAAGCATTTGCCTGGCAAGTGCAAGGTTCTGAGTTCAATCCCTGGTACAAAAAAAAAAAAAAAAGAGGGAGCCTGGGGATGCAGCTCCTCACAGTGTTAGCATAGCACAGCAGCTGTGGTTCAATCTCCAGCATGAAAGGAGAGAGAGAGAGAGAGAGAGAGAGAGAGAGAGAGAGAGAGAGAGAGCTCTGAAGGGCCCAAAGGTACAAAGGGACAACCAATTAATTTTATCAGTTTATTCATGTTAAAATATATCCCTTAATAAGTCATTTATGGAGACTTTGGACCTGACTCAAAAGGAGTGTCTTTCATAATGGGACAGAAAGTAGACTGATAAAGGAAGTATCTGCAGGCAGGCATTTCAGCACCCAACGTGCACACCAGGTAGGTAAACTCCACCCCAACCCCACTGCCGCGGTAACCACCGCCAACACACATGGGCAGAGCCAGATAATTGACTTGAAGGAAGACCTCGGTCCTGCTGTAAGTAAGTCAGGGCCTAACAGCCAGCGCCTTTTCCTGTGCCCGGTTCACCAGCGCCCCCTAGAGACAGATCTAAGGTGAGCACGTCTGGAGATAGGCCCTCCTATAGGTTCTGGAGGCAAAAAAAAAAAAAAAAAAGCAAAACAAATAAACGACCCTGATTCTATTTATTTATTTATTTATTTATTTATTTATTTATTTACTTGGAAAAGCAGACAGTTTTGGGGGTGATTTAAGATTTTTTTTTTTTTTTTTTTTTTTTTTTCAGAGCCAGGGATCGAACTCAGGTCCTTGCTCTTGCCAGGGAAGCACTTATTCCACTGAGCCATCCTCCTGGCCAAAATTTTCTTTTCTTTCTTTTCTTCCTTTTTTTTTTTTTTTTTTTAAGATTAGATCTCATTAAGTCACTATTTCCCAGCTGGATTCAAGCCTGGGATCCTCCACTACAGTCACAGAGTGCAGGAGTTACAGCCATGTTCCACCATGCCAGCGAAGAAAGACAATCTTTTTAAAGGAGAGATGTTCTTGAAGAGGACATTAGCATGTGGGCCCATATTTCTCCACTGATTTCTGTGCCATGAGGCCCTCTGTCCCCTAAGTGGATTGTGGCAATCGATACCGTTCATAAGGCCATGGCAAGGCCCAGGGGCAGCGGTGGCATGAATGTGAAGGGAGGGGCAAGAGTAACAGCCAAGTGGGGAATCCCAGGGAACCAGGCATGTGAGGGCCCCTGCCTTGAGAAACACTTGTTGGATTAATGAATGCCCAGGAGGAGTTTCTGGGATTTCCGTACTGTATCAGGCTCAGGTCTCCCAGTTACTCTTTGAGTTAGGGTTCTAAGCGCCTCACTTTATAAGTGAGGAAACTGAGGCTCATGCAAATGAAGTTCTTGCCCTGCTGCCCCCACAACCCCTTTCCCAAGCCTAGCCAGGTGGGAAATGCAGGACTGGGCCATTTTAAAAGGGAAAAATCCCTGGGTACTCTCTGTACATCTCCTAGAATTGTTCGCTAAGGCAGAATGTCCATGCCCATCAGAGACCTTCCCCCAACACACAACTACTTCTCAAGTCTTGAAATACAGTTCCCTGAGGTCACCCACTTTCCCTCTCTCAGTTTTCATTGTCCTCTCCACTGGTTGGTCAACATAAACAGAGAGGTGGCCAAAGACACAGCACAATGACAGAGCTGGGACTGATGTCTCAGAGCCCCTTAGATAGGGAGGCATTAAGGCTTGTCTTCCATTTCAGCGGAAGCATTTACAGCATACCCTGGAAGTGTGTTTCTTTAGCAGTGTGAACAGAATGTGTGTATTGAAAAACCGTACAA